TAAAGTCATATTATATTTTATTATAGGAATTGCTTGTCTTATCACTTTATTCGAGTGGTCGCGATGCTGCGAATTTTCCACAACCAAATGAGTTCCGTCCAGAAAGATGGATTAGAACGCAAAAAGGTACTTATCAAGGCGTAGTACATCCACATGCAAGTTTACCATTCGCTTTAGGCGCTAGAAGTTGTATTGGTCGAAAATTGGCAGAAATACAAATATCGCTTGCATTAGCAGAGGTGCGTAAATAATTATATATTAATATATATTAAGAATTGATAAACTTATTTGATGACATGATTTTATTTTAAAAATTGCAGTTAATTAAATCATTTAAAATAGAATGTATAAATAAGAATCAAATAAAATTAATTTTACATTTAATTTCTGTACCATCGCAATCAATAAAATTAAAATTGATGGAGAGAAAATAGCTAACATAACAAAGTGAAATATCATTTAATTGTAAAAATAGTAAAATATTTTTTTATTTTTTATTTCCTTCTATGCAATAATATTTTATCCATATACATCTATATTGAATAAAATACAAATATTTTCATCATTGTACATACATATATATGTGTAAATTAATTATTTATGTTACAATTATTAACATTTAAATATATATTTTTAATTAAATGACATTTATAAATTGTATACTTATTAATATTCATCAATTCTAAGTTTTATAATAAATTTATAAAGCATGATTGAAGTAGAAAATGAGTAAAATATTTTGTTATATAAAAGTTTCATTAAGCGTTTCAAATTTAGAAAATATAGATTAAATAATTAAAATAATATTATTAAATATTACAATTATATACAATTAATTTATTATTAACGTTGGCACAAAACGTTATTTATAATTTTTTTCACTTCGTCTAAAAATTCATGAAAATTGTCGGTAATAGAAAAATCTTGAAATGCTTGAACTCTTTCAGATTTTGTCATTGAAGCTGTCAAAAATCTCTTTACGCAACAAGATTTTAATTCGTGACATGAATTCATTCTCGCCCAATTCCACGCTTTACTCAAATTTTTATAATTCAATTTAGATATAGAACTTTCTGTAAGAATATCTGATATATCAGCCATAAGAAACCTGTCCGCCAATAGTACAGCGTCTAATATAGATTCAATAGTTCTATTTTCGAAAGTCGAACCATTTGCAGCTAGAAGTAATGTATTAAGACCTTCTTTTGATGTGTTTCGTAATTTGACACGTTTTTTACCCGATTCTGAAAAATTTCCTTCAAGCATTGCTGAAAAGGCATCCGATTTTTGACATAATGTTTGTCTACAAGCATCAATAGTCGTACCATCGTCTAGTTCGAATGTAACTGTTGCAGGTTTCGGATGATTATCGTACACTCTTGGAAAATCTGCCGAAGTGGTTTCTATGATTTGATATTTTTCTACAATCTCAGATTGAATTTCCAATGTATTTGCTAATTGACAAATTGACCAAATAGCATTTTCATAAAGATTGTGTTGTTGATTACATAGAATCTGAAATATTAATCGAAGACCACCATGATTATTCAGAAGTGATTTTAGAATATATCGTGACTTGATTAGAAATGGTATCGAAACTGCGATAACTAATTTATGAGCTTCTTCTCCACGAAGCAATATAGATGTAAGTTCACCTATCGCTCCGCCAGTTTCTGCTAAGGCGCATAGTTGTCTTGTATATTGTTCAGAACCGTATAATGTTTGAGCTTCAAAAACGAAGCCTTGTTTTAATAATGGTATTAGATATACTCCATTTCTATATAAAAAATTGTTTATTAAATACTATAAATCTCATTTAAATGGTAATTGAAAAAAATTTTATCTATTTACCTTATAATTCTAGTTAAAATTCTAGACGCTTTTGGATTTTTAGCATGTTTGATATAGGCTGATAATGCTTCAATAGTTGCGGGATCAGCCAATCGATCAATTGGATCATTTGAATGACTTAATCGACTTAATAATACTAATGTCCATACATTTGCATATTCCCAAACATTTGATTTATTTCCTTCCTCTGAATTTTGAGATTTTTCCACATTTACAGTTATTGATTTACAACTTTTTAATGATTCTACTTCTTCTTGAGGTTCTAAAAAGATGATTGAAATTTGCTATTCTTCAAATTTTTTAAATTTAATATATTATTTTATATATTAAATTAATATGAAAATTAATTTACCATCTTCATTATCCATTATTTCTGTATCGCTACAAACTGGACTATAATTGTCTTCAGTATTTTCATCATTTTCAATAGAATCATAAAAAGGTAATGGTGGTGTACTAGGAGGTGAAGAGGAAACACTAACAGCACTACCTGGACTCCAGTCATCTCGATAATAATCTGAACTAAATCTATAAATAAAAAAATCATGATTTTATATCTTCTATAATAATAAATTAAAAACAATCTTACAAGCATACCTTCCTAAATTTGTCTTATTATATTTCAATTCTAGTTGTTTATTAGGAGGAGAATCATTCTCTCTTTTTCTTGAAACGTTCGTCTCCTCATAAGATACTGTTTCAGTTACCATTTTTTTCAATCTAATAACTAAAACATCAAGCAAACCATTTTTTATCATTATTGTAATACTTGGATCATCATAAATAAATTGTGCTAAAGCATGCAATAACATAGGATGATATTTTTCATTCTTAATATCTTTTAATAAAGATAACATTAATTCTAAGCCAAATCCCATTCTAATTCTTGCACGATTTACAGCTTCTCTACAAAACAAACATAAACTGACTAATGTTTCTTTAGATAGTTCCAAATGATCTTTGATGAGAATAATCAAACTTTCAATAGCACCAAAATTTCCCAGAATAGGTCGACATTCTGCAATTTGGCAAAGATTGTACAAACATCTGATTGCTATTTTATTATTCATATCACAACATTGTACAATACACTTATAACCCTGCATATCATTTTCCCCTCGTAATTGTTCCCCAACTCGAGGATCAAGCGTAGCCAAAAATACACACATGGCTTTTAAACAGGTTTCTATTAAATCTATATATTTTGTATTTGTTTTTAATTGTTCCTTTGCCATTACTAATAAACTTGTAATTCGAATTATTACTCCAGATTCTAAGATTTCTTCTCTACTACCTTCATACATAGTCCAAATATTTCTTCAAAGAAAATATATAGTTAAATATTGACTAGGAAAAGAATATTATTAAGAATATTATTAATGTACTAATTATTTTTTTAATACCTTATAGCTCTAATACCCATTAAATAAGTTTGCATATATATATCTAATTGTAAAAGATCAACCAAAGCTTGTACTGCTCCAGCTTCACATAATGATTTTGCATGCCAGTCACATTCAGATAAATTACCAATTAGTCTACAAGCACGACAATGCAAAGAATTTCCTAGTTTTATATGCTTTATTATAGAAATTACATGAGTTGCTATTTTAGATCCTTTGACCTAAAATATAACAATATATTTAAAATGCATTAACATATAGTATTATAGTATTCTATCTAATAAAAGTATTCTATAAGAAGGTATTAAATTAAATATATTAAATTATATATAATTATATATAAATATTAAATTAAATATTAGATTTTATAAGAAAAATATTTTGTTTAACAAATATATCTATTAATTGATATAAAAATATATAAAAGTAATATATATATATATATACCTTTTCTCTTGCATCAGAATTCATGCAAGCATTTGCTAAAATACTTAAAGTCATATTCAGTATTTTTATATTATGACAATGAAGTAAATTTACTAAAATGCCTAATCCTCCATCTTTGGCAAATTGCTTGTAACACTTTGAATCATTTTTAAGTCGTGTCAAACATGACCAAATTCCGCTTTTCGAATCCAATTTTATATGTTTAAATAATTCTTGTAATATCGGGCTTTCTTGTCTCTCACCCATGTTCAATATTTTTATAAACGAATAAAAAAATTAATGAAAATTTGTTAGTTTTTTAAAAGAAACATAACCTCTAAATTATACTGCTAACTAGGTTGACAGTTTCATCCATATAGTAGCTTATAAAAATAAGACAAAAAAGATTGTAGTTTAATTAATAAATTTCACTGTCAAAATATATTTAAATTATAGTTATCAATTTTATAGCTCATATTATAAATTTATAGTTTTATAAATATAAATAATAAATTATTTTGTAAAATTATTTTTTTAAATTTCCCGCTATTTGATTTTAGTTTAAGTATATATTGTATATACTATATATTATATCATAATTTTAAGTCAATAAATATATATTATATAAAAAAAACAAAAGAATATTATTAAAATAATTTTAAAATATATTAATATTATATTTAAATAAAGTATTTAATAAATATAATAAGTAATAACTATTTACAATCATTATTAATAATGATTACATGTTTAAATATTGTTTATAAAATCTATTTTTTTTCTTTTTCTTTATTTTGTATATGTATCTTTTAATTTTATATCAAATAGAATTTAAATATGTTTTATTGTATTAAACTTTATTATTTTATTAAACTTATAAAAATATGCTTTAAAATAAACTAAAATCAATTTATTAAAGAATTATTTTTACGATTCCTAAATTTGAATGAAGTGTAATGAAATTATTTATATTCATAATTTTAATAAAGTAAACTAAATTTTTAATTTAACTTGTTCCTAAAGTAGAATTATTTTCACATGTGAAAATCTGCATAATAATAGTTACTTAAAATTCTACATATATATAATTTCATTATGCATTTTTTTTAACAATATTTAAATTCATTGCTAATTTGATATTGAAATTGTTTACAACTAATTTATATCATCAAAATAATATAATTTTAATTATCATAGAAAAAAGAACAAAATTTAAATTGTGTTTCGTAAGAAAGACAAATTTCTATTTTGCGTAAGCGCATCGTGAAAAGTATCATTACCGTAATGCGCACCTGCTGAGTATAAGGGCAGTGTCCGTGAATTGAGTATAGCAGAGGCGTCAAAATGATAGGAGAGGGCATGGAGATCGGATCGTGAGCTACGCAGGAGATGTCGACAAGATGACAGCAGTTGTATGACGCTTGTTAATTCTTGGATACAGGTTCAGCATATATCAATAATAAGAGGAAAATCGTTCGCGAAACGAACGATTTATGCCTCGTTACGGTGATACATTGGTCTCAATAGATTCTTTGCGTCGAAACGAAATTGTAATCAGACAAATTCGGGTGAGAGCTGTGATCGCCGCGCCCGTGCAATGTACATAGCGGCCTGAATTGTGTTCAAGATTACCGTCTCCGAGGAGTCCTCTCTTTAAACAGTCTGGAGCGGAGTAATGAGCGTTTTTGGAGATTTTCAGCGTGTCTGGGTACAAAGATTCCCGGACAGCGCCTTGCCGGCGGCCTGGGAAGAAGATGTCAGGGCCAATCTAGTCAAGCATAAACAGAAGGTAAAACTTCTAATAAAAAAATATATTTATATTTGCTACAAAAAAAAGAATTTATTATTGTTTAAATGAAAAATTCATATTATTATTTTGAGAAAAATATCTATTCAGACAGAAGTTAGAAATATTAAATATATGACAATAATGACATACATTTTCCTATATGTTTTGATTTAAATAATTTTTTATAAAAAATTTTATTTTATAAATTGTAATTTATAATTAATATATATGATTTTAATTTTATAATAATAATAAATATATATTAACAAAAGAATATTGTATGTTGAAAATATTTTTATTTTAATATTTACTTTTTTTTTATAATTAAATTATGTTAAAAACTAAAAATTTAATTAAAAAATTCTTTTTCTAAGAAGTGTGTTCAATAAATTTTTATTACATAAACCTTCTTCATTGTTGAAGCATTGAGAATTTCATTCCATGAGTCATCATATTAATTTCTTACTTAACTGGGAAATTAACTTAATTTATATTTAACTTAATTTATATTAGATATAATTATATCTAATATATAATTTGTGTTTGTTATATGAATTTCAAATTGATTTAAAATTTGTTTATTTTGCGATATTAAATAATTTTTTGTATATTTCATATTTATAAAGAAAATTGATTTACAATCAATAAATATTGAAAAATATAAAATTATTATATTAATAATATCTATTCTTATTATTAAACTTGCTCATTTGGTATATTATCATTGATTCATCATTTGCTGCTTATCTTAGTTTTGTAATCATTTTAGAAAAATTAAATTTATATTATTTATATTTATTAAGATAAATGTAAAAAATAAATAAAAAGAATTATTATTCTTTTCAGGTAACTGCTTTAAGAGAAGAACTTGAAAAAGAAGAATTTTATGTAGAATATTTAGAAAGATTATTGGCAGATGTTGAGCGTCATAAGCAATTGGCAAATAGTAATATTATAACATCTCCTGATAAACAGCAACCTATAGAATCTCAAAATCAACATAGTTGTCAAGCAGCAGAGAATAATTTAACTAATTCTACAAGCACATCTTGTATTCAACATGTGGAATCATCAATTTCTTCCCTTCCTGCATCTGAAGATATAAGTAAATTTCAGGACAAGTGTGTAACTGAATTAAGTTCTACTCTTAATACATGCAAAAGACCCAAAAGTGAAATACCTAGGTGTCCTGATAAAGTGCCTGAACTTAGAAGAAACAGTGACCCAGATGTGCCAAGTAATTATGTTACTGTAATTGAAGTGACAGGAAGCTCAAAAAAAGATAAAAATGAAGAATCTCTCAAAGAGGAAGATGAAAAAGGTGATATATTATATTTATATAGTATTATAAAATTTAATTGTTTTAATATATAATAAATTATTTATGTTTAATAAGTAGATTTAGAAAATGCTGCAATTAATGAAGATGGAGAGGATGGTGATGCAGAGGTATCGGAGGAAGAACCTTACTATGATTCTGTAGCTTTAGATCAAACAGGAGAATATGTATATATTGATGCACGTGTTCCACCTGTTGGAAATAATAATAGCAATAGAGCACCATCAAGAAGACCACCTTCTTTGCCAGATTCACCAGGAAATCAAAGCAATTATGTCAACATTGATTATTTTATACAGTAAATTATCTGTATTTAGATATTATTGGTTTTAAAATTATTTTGTGAAAATTTTATTGATGTTAATTAATATTGATTAATATTTATATTTTTATTTGTAGACACAGAGCTGCAATGGATAGTGAAGATGAAGAGGGTGCAAGTCCTGCACCACCAATTTTATTACGTGCTCTTAGTACTGATAATGAAACTGGTAGTAGTGATGCAGAACCTTTAAGTTTAAGTGAGGGTAGTTTGGAATCACCAACGCCAACTACACCTCGCCGACAGGAGAAAAGCAAAGAGCGTGAAGATGATAGAACATCTATGATTAAATGTATTGTAAACTCAGTAGTGGAGAGTGAAACTATTTATGTTGAATGTTTAAATGTTATGTTACAAGTATATAATCTATTTATTATATATAATAATATATATAAGTAATATTAAATTGATCAAAAAGATATAATATTTTTTTTAGTATATGAAAGCTATCAGGGCAACGTTAACAACATCTCAACCTGTTATTTCTGAAGATGAATTTGGTACAATGTTTTATAAAATTCCTGAATTACATGCATTGCATCAAACATTTTTGGATGGTCTTAGAAAAAAATTAGAAAAATGGGATATTAAAACTACTATAGGTGAACAATTTAAAGTAAGAACTAAATATATTGATATATTGATATATTAATTCATTTTGTTCTTTTATTAATGTTATAATTTTATAATTATAAATTAAGGTAATGGCCAGTAATATAGGATTATATGGAGCTTTTTTACATAATTATGCTCGTGCTACTGATACTGTACGAAGATGTTCTGCACATTCCACTCAATTTGGTGAAATTACAAGAGACATAAGACTCAGAGGATTTCCAAAAGGACCGGGTTTATCTCTTGAAGATCTCTTGCATAAACCAGTAGCTCGTGTACAAAAAAATGCATTAGTATTGCATGTAAATATCATTTATGATTTTATTGTATATATAAATATCTATATAGATATAAACATGTATCATTGATAAAACATTGATTAAGTTGATAAAATGATGTGGAAATATACTTTGTAAATTTTATCTTATCATTTGTATTGATAATTTTATCTCAATTGATTGTAGGATCTTCTTAAGCACACACCAGTGAATCATGCAGATCATGCACCACTTTCAGAAGCTCTTGCTATGACTAGAAATTTTCTAGACGAATTTAATATAATTCAGACAAAATCAATGTTTCCGGTAAATAAATTATAATAATAATTAAGATTATTATCAATTTAGTTATATTAATTTTATATTAAAATATATTACTTTTAGAGTCATGATAGAGCACAAAGAAGATTGGTAAAAAATTCGTTTGTGGTAGAACTTTCTGATGGTCATAGAAAATTGAGACATCTTTTCCTTTTCAATGATGTAATTGTATGTGCAAAGTATAAAGCTTCTGGTAGAGATAAATTTACATTTGAATTGAAATGGTATGTACCAGTGGCAGAAGCGGCAGTGACAGAAGATGGTGTAGAACCACGTGAAACTAGTCCAGCTAATGTTGTAGCTTTGAGGTATAGATAAATCTATTTTCATAAACAATAATTTACATAATATAAATTATATTTTTATTTTTAATATTTATATGTATAGATCACAAGCATGTACAGTACGTGATCAGATTCTATGGGAAGAACGAAATGATGAGAAACGAATTAGACTTGGTGGTAGAGGTTCAGAAAAAAATAGAAAGAAACTTGCTGAGCTTGAAGCTCAATTAGTATTAGCATCTCCAAATTTAGTATTACGCGTTGCACACAAAAGTCAGCATCGAGTACAAAATTCATATACATTCTTTCTATCCAGTGAATTTGAACGTTCTCAATGGGTTGAAGCAGTGGAGGCATTGCAACAGGTAATGCGTTCCCATATGTACCTAGATAAGTCAAAGGTGCGTAATTTACAGATTTCAAGTAAATAAATAATATAAAAATAATTAATTTGCATTTTATTTAAATCCAAAACGAGGATGCAAGTAACAATATCTTAGTAAAATATTATTAAAAAATTTAATGGAAAAAAATATTAAACAATAATTTTTCAGGGTGGACAACCACCAGGACCGCTTCCTTTATCGATGTACGAATTACAAGCATGGGTTACAGCCTGTCGTACTTATCTTCAAACAGATATGGGAAGTTATTTATTAAGATCAGGGCGTGATGAAAGTTTATTACTAGGTGATCTTCATTTAACTTTACTTGGCTTGACACCGCCAGGTTTAGATAGAGTTGGAGATCTTTATATCATTGTTGAAGTTGATAGTTATGGACACTATTTTAAACGAGCAAGAAGTCGAGTTGCAAGAGGTCAAGCTCCAACGTGGGGTAAAATGTTATTTTAATGAGAAATAATCCAAAAAATTATCTCTTTCAATTAATTATTTTTAATTTTAATCAAAGGTGAAACATTCGTCGTGGAATTGGAAGGAAGTCAAAATGTTAGAATTCTGTTATATGAAGAATGCGGAACACGTTCTGTATTACGTGGCAAATGTATACAAAGATTGAGTAGATCTTGGCTTCAATCAGATCAAATAGAAAGATCGTTAAATTTAGGTCCAGCTACATTAGATGTGGCTCTTCGTTTTGTTCCAAGTGAAGTGACATTAAGACGCGTACCATCGGCTAAACCTCAAGGTCTATTTGGAGCTAAAATTCAACAAGTGTGCAAGTATGTTTCATAATTTTTATAAGTATGTTTTTTATTGAAAATTTTTTTCATGTATTAATCCTTATGATTATTTTTTTTTATAGACGTGAAAAACGTGACGTTCCCTTTATTATAACAGCATGTGTTAGAGAAGTGGAAAGGAGAGGAGTTGGTGAAGTTGGATTGTATCGTGTTTCTGGTTCGGCTTCAGATTTAACAAAATTGCGTAAATCTTTTGAAAGTAATTCGTATGAAGCAGAACAATTACTTAAAGAGGTATTTATATTACAAAAATCTTTTCATAATGCAATATAAAGTTTTTTTTTTTAAAGTAATTAATAAAATTATATAGAATATATAGTATTAATTTAATATTAATATAGATTTATTATCTTCATAAAAATAATTAATAAAATTATATAGAATATGTAGTATTAATTTTATATTAATATAGATTTATTATCTTCATAAGGTTGATGTTCATTCTGTAACGGGTGTATTGAAGTTATATCTTCGTGAAATGCCAGAAGCTCTCTTCACAGATGCTCTTTATCCAGCATTCTTAGAAGCGTTTCAAACTGGCGAATTATCAAAAGGTGCTGCTCTTAGAAGAGTATACGAAAGTCTACCAGCCGTAAATAAGGCAGTCATTGACTTTCTACTTGCTCATTTGATACGAGTTAATAAACACGAGGCTCAAAATAAAATGTCCTTGCACAACTTAGCGACGGTGTTCGGGCCGACGCTTCTACGTCCTGGTACGAATTCGCGATCTGACGCAAAAAGTCGGGATCCTTTAGCTGCAGGGACTGTAGACGTAATGGCACAGGCCGGTATACTTTATTGTTTTTTGCAGATGCATATGCAACAGAACAATCAATCACTCTAGTCGAGAGGTTCTTGTTGAGCTATTGTAGCGTCAGCTGCTTTTCGCGAGTCTCATTGGAAACTCGCAGCAACTTACGCTGTAATGTAAAATGAACGATTTTTTATAATATATATTTTATTAGTTTTGTGATGTATCGTTCATACAACACTGAATTAGATGTATAAGTAGACAGACTTTGACAAAATCTTGATTGATTCCTTTTGTATTGGTATACATACAAACAATGTAGCAAAATGATCTTACAGAACATGTACTTTAAACTCCTCAATATATATTTTATACTTATATACTCGCGGAGACCTAGCAACGATTTTATTACGTGATGATTGCACGTAAAACATTTCCAAAAAAAACTTGTCTAAGGAAAAATTTTTTCCTATAAAAACAACATCAAAAAAAAAGCAAAGTGAAATATGGAAGTTCGATTATTAATGCATCCCCGCTTTAGAAAATAAGTATTTTTTCCAATGGAGCGTGTTCCTAGCAGAGAATCTAAATTTTTTTACGTATATGTCCACAAAAATATTCACATATTCAAAATAATCACGTTCCTAAATATTTCAGGAAGCATATTTTTTAAGATGTGCAAAATAAAGCTTTTAATAGTGTATGCAAAATATACTAACTATATTCTGTTTTGTCACTTGATATTTATGTTTTCCAAGAAAACTATGTTTTTTCATTAATACTATTTCTTATAAAAATATTTTGGAAAACATTGTTCTTAGGGAATGCTATGAAATAATCTTAAATCAAGTTTCTAATGTTTAAGCTGTGGTTAGACTCGTATTTGTTTTTTAATTAATTGCTTAATTGATTTTTGATCATAAATTTAGTATTTTTGATACTTTAGAAACTCATTTGAAATATTTAAAATTTAAAAAATATTTAAAAAGAAAAAACTTTAAAAATTTTCAAATTTTTGATAAATTAAATATAAATATTTTATATATGCAATTTTAAAAAATAGTTTAAAGAATATTTTATTATTATATGTATATATTAATTTGCTGCATTGATCATTAAGTGCAAAAAGATTATTTCAATCTTTTTCAGCAACTACTTTTTCAAGTTTTTTTTTTTTTTTAGATTAATCTTGGATTAGATTAATCTTGGAAGTCTAAGTGCAGCTTAATTTAGCACCAAAGAGAAAGATTCTCTCTCATATCTTCAATAAAAACTCTGATTGAACCTTTGAAGTATTAAAATCATTTTACGTATTAATCATTTTGAAATTTCTATATCATTAATAGTATTCTTAACGATATTTTTTTATTATTACATATAATTAATAACTAATACATTAACTCTTCATTATTATTAGATTTTTAGAAGAACTGCTTTTTATTTAAAAAAGAAAAGAAATTAATTGATATCTTTTATTCCAAAAATATGCTTCAAAGAGTTACAATAAAAAAAACATTTGGCAGTACAAATTTAATACTCGCTAAAATTTTGTATTGTGCGCTAGAATATTTTGATTTTGATTGATAAAATCAAAAAATATATTTAATGAGTACTCGATAAAAAATATAATATTGTACACATTAAATGAAACAATAATAAATTACAAGAAAAAAAGAAAAAGAAACAAAATCAAATTACCAGAGAAGAAGAAAAGATCGCGTTATATTAATTTCCGAAAAGGTATTTTTGAGCTTGATAAACAAACAAGGCAACTATCGTGTGCGTGATTTCAGCGTATGCGTGTGTATGTATGTATGTATGTATAATCCGCTGTGTATAATATCGTAAATAATTGGATATTTTTAATTTTTATATCATATTTAACATTAAGACGCGATCCTCTTTTGTACATTCATAAAATTTGTAAAGACAAAGTTTCAGCTATTATTATTATTATTATTACTGTGCTTATTACTATCGTTATTATTATTATTATTATTATTATTATTATTATTATTATTATTATTATTATTATTATTATTATTATTATTATTATTATTATTATTATTATTATTATTATTATTATTATTATTATTATCTTTATTTTTATTATTTTATATTTTACAATTACCAATTTTTTTATAAAACAAATATTTGTGTTAATGAACATTCAATTAAGCTAGCTTATTCGCAGCAAGACAATGTACTGCCAAAAAGAACCCTTAAAATGCATAAATATACTGGAGATTTATAAACTTTTAATTGATATAATTGATAACATTTATCGTTACCCCAAGATACGCTTTTCAATAGTCTTTTAGTTTTTTTTTTTCATTTATCCTTTACATGAAATATTTTAAGTACAATATTATATTGTAACTTGAATTGTTATTTTATTTTGAATTGTATTTTTTAAGATCATAAAATTATCTTAAAAGAATTAATTGAAATGATCTTAAAAGAATATAATGCAGATATCGGAAAATATGTTAAATATTGTATGACGGAATATTTTATTTATAAGTAAGCTAATAATTTTATATATTCATGGAAATCACTGTAAATCTACGTACATGAATATTATATTTTAGTACACTTTGTTTATTTTTTTAATCTTTAGATTTATGTATAATTCGTAAACGTGAATTTTAATTTTATTTTCAGAAATAGATAACACTATATAATGGGAAAAAATTTATATAGAATTTGATATCTCTTATTTTAATGATGAATCTCTGGGCAATTTCGAGCTGGCGGAGACAAGGGTAGTTTAACTGGTGAAGCTGCTATGTTATCCCATAATCCAGGAAGTCGAGATCCATCGGATCCATTGCATTGCATTCCTAATTAATATAATTTAAAATTATTAATTAAAAATATTAAAATCAAAACTTAAGATTTTTTAATATAAATATATATCACAAATAATAAAAAAACCTAAAGGTGCAGCTTCATATAAATCATGCAATGCTTGTACGCGAACTTTGGTCCACTCGATGCTTATTATTATTATTATTATTATTATTATTATTATTATTATTATTATTATTATTATTATTATTATTATTATTATTATTATTATTATTATTATTATTATTATTATTATTATTATTATTATCTTATTTTTATTATTTTATATTTTACAATTACCAATTTTTTTTATAAAACAAATATTTGTGTTAATGAACATTCAATTAAGCTAGCTTATTCGCAGCAAGACAATGTACTGCCAAAAAGAACCCTTAAAATGCATAAATATACTGGAGATTTATAAACTTTTAATTGATATAATTGATAACATTTATCGTTACCCCAAGATACGCTTTTCAATAGTCTTTTAGTTTTTTTTTTTCATTTATCCTTTACATGAAATATTTTAAGTACAATATTATATTGTAACTTGAATTGTTATTTTATTTTGAATTGTATTTTTTAAGATCATAAAATTATCTTAAAAGAATTAATTGAAATGATCTTAAAAGAATATAATGCAGATATCGGAAAATATGTTAAATATTGTATGACGGAATATTTTATTTATAAGTAAGCTAATAATTTTATATATTCATGGAAATCACTGTAAATCTACGTACATGAATATTATATTTTAGTACACTTTGTTTATTTTTTTAATCTTTAGATTTATGTATAATTCGTAAACGTGAATTTTAATTTTATTTTCAGAAATAGATAACACTATATAATGGGAAAAAATTTATATAGAATTTGATATCTCTTATTTTAATGATGAATCTCTGGGCAATTTCGAGCTGGCGGAGACAAGGGTAGTTTAACTGGTGAAGCTGCTATGTTATCCCATAATCCAGGAAGTCGAGATCCATCGGATCCATTGCATTGCATTCCTAATTAATATAATTTAAAATTATTAATTAAAAATATTAAAATCAAAACTTAAGATTTTTTAATATAAATATATATCACAAATAATAAAAAAACCTAAAGGTGCAGCTTCATATAAATCATGCAATGCTTGTACGCGAACTTTGGTCCACTCGATGCTTTTATAATTTGAAGAGATACCATTATCGGTGCTAGTCGGTTGATTTTCCCATTCTCTCATATATCGAAAATAAGTTCTTAGAACATCATTGCTAATAGCACTTTTACAAACCTAAGAAAAATTAATTTTTTTTATTAATTTTTTCATTATAATATTCAGTAAAAAATAAAATTACCTCTAATCGAGTATTAGGATAATAATGAATATAATTCACACACATTTCATCGGAAATGGCGAATCCACCAAGAGTAATATTTTCTCTATCCATTGTATTGTACGTACAAGTTGTTATTAACGAATCTCCCTGAAAAAAAATTTATATAAATTTGCTAGATATACATAAGGATATTCATATGTTTAATATGAAATATGTATTAGATTTTAATTCTTACTGGTAAAATAATAACAGGTTTCGGTAAGAGTCGAATTTCTTGAAAATGAGTGGAATAATGATTGTCATAATTTAATAAAGGTAATTCTTCTCCGTCTCTAATATGACGAGTAATAACTTTAATGCCTGTTAAATGTGTATGAAGTTGCGATGCGAAAATATGAATACCATGTTGTGGGAGACCAATGCCTGTACATTCTTGTATGCAATGTCCAGATAAAGTAAAAGCTTCCTATAATAATTTTATTAATTTTGATTTTTCATTATAATAATATATATCTTTTCTTTAATTTGCATTAATTTATTACTTGTCGTGGAGGAATAGCCATTTTATCAGTATATTCTAAACCTAATTCAATTACACCAGCATCGTATTTCCGAAGACTTTTAGTAAGAATGAAACGAATTCCTGAAGAATCGATGTTCCCATTCTGAAATTCAGGATTATTGTAGTGAATTTCCAGCATGATGTAAGGATTAAAATCTTGGCCACCAATTGAAAGACCAGCTTCTTCTGGATAAACAAAAGCATCTGCTCCCATGGCCCATGCTGCTAAGACTTTCTTACATATCTTAAAAGGATAGAAAAAGAAATGATTTTAAAATTGAAAAATAATTTGTTATGGTAAAAAAATTATAATATAGTTAAAATGATAATATTTAATATAATTAATAAATAAATTAATTCGTTGATAAATAAAAAATAAAAGAATTAGCGCACTTGAGTTTTCTCTGGTCTATCAGTTCCATCACAAGGACCATCATACATAGGAATTTCAAAATTTATTGGTCCAGCACAATGAAAAATTTCCATATGATGAACTAAATGTTCATTGCCTTTTTGTATGACTGGACCAAACTGTAGGATATGATGTCTAAAAACAACAATTTCGTAAAGTTAATTATTCCAAATTAATCCAAAAAAATATTATTAAAACTCACTTTTGAGACAAAATGGGAGGTAATTTTTGTACACGGCACCAATAAGTTGTTTCTTTATTCGGTACTTTCACACGATCTGTTAATATTTCTAACTGCCAAGCATTTGAAGGAAATATTGGCTTTTTATGAAGCGTCCTGATTAATTCTGTTCTAGACATACCAGAAGTTTCTGCATCGGATATTTGCAAACCAGTCAAAGATGATAGTGGTCCTAAACCTTTTAACCATACTAAATGCGTAGTACCTCTCTATAAATTTTCAAATATTTCTCTTTTGTATTATAAAATAATAATTAAATGATTAATTAAAAGATTGAAATATAGACCTCCATAATATAATCATTTTCATCACAAGTATCAAATTTCCTTGAAAAAGTGAATTTTGTTATATTTCCTCTTCTTCTCCATGCAAAATTCTCACAATCTTGTTGCAAATCTAAGTTTAATTTTCCTTCTTCATCTGCCCATGCATCCTGAAATTTTAATGTAATATAATAAAAATTTTATATAATTATATATTAAAAATAAGTATTATAAATACTTGTAATTGAATTTGACGATGCCAATCAATCCACAAAACGCAATAATCGGCAGATTTCAGTTTACCGTAGTCTGAAAAACCTATAGCGAACCAAGTATTGTCAATACTTGTATAATGAACTTCTGCGATTATGATCTCACTCATAAAATCAACCCTAAAAATTATTTTTGCATGTATTTATTTTTTTTCAGTGTACTATACACTATTTTTAAATATATACCTCCAATAGAAAGTGATATCTGAACTAAGTGGAATTGTATGAACATCTTTTCTTTCTGAATTATTTTCTATATTTTGATGAAGATTATGCCAAAATAAACATAATCCATTTTTTAAAATTACAAACAAAAATAGCAAATAAATTTTTGAAAACATTTTAAATTTTTTCAATTAATTGTTTTTTTATGAAATATTATTATAAATATTAAATATATATTAATTAATATATATATTATAGAATTCTTTATTCACACATAATTTAAAAATAATTTAAAAATTTAATTTCACAGATACGTTTATGATCTTTCGCCTTCTTATCACTACTAACAGCTTTTAAACGACCCGAAAGGACGAAGACTTCATATAATACTGCTTTGCCGCCGATTCTCTGCGGCGATCATGCGCAGAAATATCACAATAATAAAATTATTTAAAAAAAACAATAATAAATATAATTTTTTTAAGTAATAAGAATTATAAAAAAAATAAATAATGAATATATAAAAAATTTGATTAAATGTTTCAATAAAAATTATATTTGCAAACTTTGTAATATTAGCGCATGTGCAATTGAATATTAGTTCGAAATATTATTCGAGTGTTATTAGAATTGACAAAAAATATAAGTTAAATTTAGTTAATAAGATTATGAAGAAATATATAAATTCCTTAATATTTTAATGTTTTATATCAAGCATAGATCTAAACTAAAGCATAAATCCTAAATATGTAAAATGTATCACTTTCTATATTAAATAAATATTTAAATATTATTTAGTTTCAAAATAATTTTTAAATGATAATATAACATTATTCTTTTAAATTAAATTAAACTCTTTTATTAAACTCTAATATCTATTCTAATTACATCTCGGTTATACTAATTATATATTTTCATTTAAATATTAGAAGTTTCATCTTCTTATTAATATTCAATTATTTTTCTTCTAATTACGTTCATTTGCTTGAAAATAACTTAGGTTATCAATTTCTAATAAACGGAAAATTACACCGATTGAGGTCATAAAATCAAATTTAAGTAATGGAATCTTTTATATAATATTTCATTTTAAATTGGATATGAAATTTATTTATAATAACAATATTTGATCTACATTTGATTATATATTTTTTTTGTCCAATTTTTTGTTCGATATTGCTTGTTAAGTAAGAAAATTTAGATTCGAATTGAAATGTTTGTAATTGTAAATAAAAGTATTTATAGTGTTAAGTGAATTTCGTAAGGTGGAAAAAAAAAATATTGGAACATCAAGAAAATATCTTAATAACCAAATGCCAGAGAGCGCATATTGCATTCCAGTCGCGGTGCGTGCTTCTCCTTCTGATCGTAATCAAGAAATTCCACAATTCTTATTGAGAGAACAATTCTCACGAAAAGCATTATTCGAGGTAATAAAAAATAATATAAATAGCATCAATATCGAAATCAATTTTTTAATGATTAATTTTTTGAAAAACATTATTTATAATATAAAATATAATTAATATATTTTATCTTTTATTTTTGATATTGAATTATTATAAAATTGATCAATTAAAATGTTAGAATAGATAGAATATGAAAATAATTAAAAAATTCTTTGAATTGTATATAAAATTATGTTTACAATTTTTTTAATTATATAAATATTATATTAAAATTATTGGAATATATATATAATCATTAGCATATAGTAATTCTTTTGATTTGTTGAAATGATGCCAAATTATTCTGTAGTAGATTTCTTTAAAGGAAAATTTAAACAACTTTTATTCCTTCAGATCAATGAATGCATTAAATTCTTTTGACAGACATGTCATGAATCTGGCTTTTCTCACGAATATGAATAAAATGTATTGATATTGGATAAATGATTTTGTAAGAAATT